ATGTTGCTTTGTCAAACAAGACCAGGTTATTGAGCTTGTCCCGAACTTTGCCTTTGGACCACTTCTGCTCACCAAAAGAAAAAAGAGAGTCAGTGTTTCTGGAAGAAACTGCTCTTTCCCTCCCCAGACAACCTGTGTCACAGAACTTTTCCGTGGCGGTGGGATTATACTGCAAGGGTGTCTGTTCTGCCCCTGCAGCAATCTATGAAATTCAGAGTTTACAGAAACTCTGCAAACTAAGATTCAAGTAACTTGAAACTAGAATACCAAGGAAAAAGAACCCTACTGCCGTTTACGTTTACAGCATCCAAAAAAAAGTTAGATTAAAAAGGAAAAAAAAAAAAAAAAACCCGAACACATCTACACGAGTTTCAGATATAGGCTGAGCTCCGTGAAACCAATTAGAAGAACACCATGTGCTGAGCATCAGAACGCTGTATTCACAGTTAAGTAGCACGTATCACCCCATTCTTCCAAACACACAATGGTGAGAGCAGAACTCTAGTCATCGGACTCTAAACGCCACAACCCTAAAAGCCATGTACCAGACACGTCATTTATCACTACAGCGACATGGGCCCAGCATCCCTGCTCTCCCTCACTCTTGGGGAGAACTCCACTCCTACCTTCTTTTTGGCCTTGCCTCCAGATTTATTCACTGGATCTTTGTCTTTTTTGGCCGATTTCCCGGCATCTTTCTTCTTCTTATCGTCCTTGGGCGGCTGTGCGAAAAAGGGGGAACGCAGCAAAATTACAAGACAGCCCCACTTTCCCTCTGCCACTGCGCCCCCACCCCGCCCAAACCCCACTACCTGAGCACATGGGAGAAGCAATCCCCCCGCCCGCCCAAAGCAGCAGCCAGTGGATCTGGGGCCCTGTGTCCGGTGCCGCCTCCACGCCGTCCCAGCGCTGCCCGGCTCTCAGCGCCGCACCAGCTTCCCACCCGGGAGAGCTCACCATAGCTAAGCTCAGAGAGCAGCGGCCACCCCTGCAACCTCGCTAAGATGTCGGACAAAAAGGAAGCGCCGCTCACGCACGGGCCCAGAAACCTCCACCCTCAGCAAGCGCTTCCGGGGCAAGGGGCGGAACCCGCGGCGGAAGGTCGTGGGCCCAGCCCCCTCGCCCAGCGGACGCAGGGAGGGTGACTGTCGTTCCACCGCCGCGCACCCCGAACACTGCCCGCGGCGTTTTGGAATTTTGCCGCCAGTTGTGAGGCAGTCACACGTTGCTATGCCCTAGCCCTGGAAACTGATAAAAAAGAGAAAACAATCTGCCAGCCTCCGCAACTACCCCAGCGATCTTAAGTGTGGTGCTACAAGTGCGCAGGCGCCGGCTTTGCGGAGATTGGGGGAGAGGGCGGGGACGAGGGGCGGGCCCCGCGACTGCGGTTCCGGGGCGGGGCCTCTGGAAGAAGCCAAATCCCCGCTTCTGAGGGACAGCGGCCGCAATGGCGATTTTTAGTGTGTACGTGGTGAACAAAGCTGGCGGCCTCATCTACCAGTTGGACAGCTACGCGCCACGGGCCGAGGCTGAGAAAACTTTCAGTTACCCTCTTGATCTGCTGCTCAAGCTGCACGACGAGCGCGTGCTGGTTGCCTTCGGCCAGCGCGACGGCATCCGGGGTGGGCTAGGCTTGCGTCCGAGGGGCGGGCCCGGTGCTGCGGAGTGGGCTAGTGTCTTTGCTGTGCAGGCTGGTGGGGGGAGAGGGAGTGAGGCCGGGTCGCTGGTTCCTTCGGCAGAATCCCCACGCTAGGGCTTCGTTGACCCTTAGCTTCACCTCTACAGTGGGCCACGCAGTGCTGGCCATCAACGGCGTAGACGTGAACGGCAAGTACACGGCCGATGGGAAAGAGGTGCTGGAGTACCTGGGCAACCCTGCTAATTACCCGGTGTCCATCCGGTTCGGCCGACCCCGCCTCACCTCCAATGAGAAGCTCATGCTGGCCTCCATGTTCCACTCGTAAGTCTCCCAACACTTTCTAGTGCCTTTTGGCCTGCACTTGGCCCTTAGGATAGCTTGATTAGTGTGGTTCTGTGAGAAGTCTCCTGAGCAGCAGTGCCTATCTTTCTTTGCCTTTTTTTTTTTTGAAGTTTGAAGTTTATTTATTAGAGAGGGAGCACGCGCAAGCAGGGGAGGAGCAGAGAGGGAGAGAGTGAATTCCAAGCAGGCTGTGCAGTATCAGCACTGAGCTGATGCAGGGCTCGAACCCAGGAACCAGGAAATGGTGACCTGAGTGGAAACCAAGAGCCAGAGGCTCAACCAACTGAGCCACCCAGGCACCCCTTTGTGCTTCCTTTTAAGTCATCAGTTCTTGTGTTATGAAAAGAAAAAGAACTAGTCCAGTAGGTCTAGGCTTTAGATAATACTGGCAGTGGTGTTATCTTGCATAAGTCAGCTTCCTTCAGCTTTAGTTTCTAAGTCTTTAAAGTAAGGTAGCTGAACTAATGATCTTCAAGACCTTTTCCTGCTCTCAACTAAAGTAAGAGATATGCTGGATAATCATAGTCAGGGGAGTGAGTAATCCTCGCACATACTCCTGGTGTTAATTTCACCCAAAGCTTTCAACATAAAATGTTTTACGGCAGAGCGTAACTGCATGCAGAGTTCAAATGAATTTTAAAGAAATTTTGGTGCTGCTGCTAGGCAATTCACCCCCATTTTTTCTTTAATGTTTGAGAACCAGCCCAACCAAGGGAGGGAGGGCAGAGAGAGGGAGACACAGAATCCAAAGCAGGCTCCAGGCTCTGAGCTGTCAGCATAGAGCCCGACGCGGGGCTCGAACTCACAAACTGTCACACTGCCTCTTTTGACCTCTCACGGTGTAATGTGAACACCTCAGCAGCTAGGGTTCCTTCAGTGGAAAAGTTTGAGCAGCACCCCTCCCTTAAAACAGTGGGGTGCATTCCCAACCTTACCTCCTTTGCAAATAGGCTGTTCGCAATCGGTTCCCAGCTGTCTCCAGAACAGGGGAGCTCAGGCATTGAGATGCTGGAGACCGACACGTTCAAACTGCACTGTTTCCAGACTTTAACAGGTATGCGTCTCCACATAGGCCAAAGGGATGCAAGTAGGGGCAGTTTGGGGGAAGGGACTGACCAAAGACAACTTTGGCAAGCAAGGGGGTGGTCGTTATCTGTTCCTGGGACAATTGCACAGACACGTCTGTTTGTTTTGTGGCTCCAAAGCCAATATTTAATCTGATGCCAGTTTTGTCCACACCACCCAGCACGCTTGGCCATGGTTATCTTGTGTGCAGATAAAACTCACCTTAGTGTTGCACACGTTTTGGTAGGTGTGTTTCAAAATGAAACCTGAATGCCAAATGGAAATGACCTTTGGATCGTGTCATTCCCTCACTCCCTTAATGGGGATAATTGAAAACTGCCTGTGGAGAGACCACAAGACTAGGAATTAAGTGACAGAGCTAGAAAGCAAAGCCTGGTCTCAGTCAGTTGGGTGATGTGATAAAGTCATGTCACCGCATTGGTCTAGATCCACCGTCTTGGCTTTCCTGCTTTACAGAGCAATAGGTAAAATTAGAAATGGGCTTAAGAAAATGCTATACACACAGGATGAGGTTATTTGCTTTACTCTTTGGTAACCATTCCTGGCCCTCCTTCAGGGATCAAGTTTGTGGTGCTGGCAGATCCCAGGCAAGCTGGAATAGATTCTCTTCTCCGAAAGATATATGAGATTTACTCAGACTTTGCCCTCAAGAATCCATTCTACTCCCTGGAAATGCCTATCAGGTAGGTAGTCCGGCCCCCCCCACCCCCACCATGCTGGTCCAAGCGTCCTTGCCCCTCTCTTCGTTCTTTCCCCCACAGCCGTTTTTCAAAAATGTAAGAAGAGTTGTTTTTTCAAATAAAACGAGTGACTAGCCTTTTCTTGCTATTTTGAGAGCCCAAAGACTTTCCCATGGGGTTCCTATCTTTCAAGAAAAGAGCTTCCACTGGCTCTACCTCGGCCCCCAAAGTGGGGAAGGGTCTGAGACCTAACACTTTGTCCTCATATGTGCCACTTGGGTCTGGCCTAGGTGTGAGCTGTTTGACCAGAACCTGAAGTTAGCCCTGGAGGTGGCAGAAAAGGCTGGAACTTTCGGACCTGGGTCATAGGCTGAGCCTGCAATGGATCCCCCACATTTTGAGAGATCCTGCAGCAGGGAGTCTCCTGTATCCTCTCCGCTGGAGATCCCCACAGCCTCCTTAGTGCACTTGACAGTGGGAGGGTGTGGAGCCTGATGACACGTACTGATCCTTGAGCCTTAATACTGCTCTCTGCCCTCCCGTGTCTATCGTGGGCCTACTTCCCAACTCTGTACAGACTTATTTATGGAGGGAGTAGGTCCGTAAATGCTAAATAAACATTCCTTTGATCTGTGTCTGCTATCCTAATTGATGGTTGGAGGGAGGGGAGGCTCTGGTGGGGAGACAGGAAGGAGAAGGGAATTCTGAGATGAGATATATTCTAATAGAAAACAACTAAGTGTTCATTAAATAAGTGAACTTGGGGCTTTGAATCAGGACCTTGGGTCTAGTTCCAGAATTGCTGACTTCTAGGGTGATGGTGAAATATTTACCAAATGTTTATAGCCAGCCTTTACTGCTTTATCGAACTTAACCCTCACCCTAATCTCAGGGGGTACATTCTATTATGGACAATAGATTTAGCAAGGTACAGACTCCCTCTGCCTCAGAGTCTCAAAGCTAGTTACAAACTGCATGAGTTCGAACCCAGGCTTTCTGACCACGCTATCATAAGCCACTATTTTATTGCCTAAAACCCAGTAGCTTTGGCCCTAAAATGATCACTGAATTATACAGTGTTAAGTTGAAGGCAAAGGAGACATAAGCTAAAAAGATACGTCAGATCTCCCATCCCAAGGAAATGAAGTCTGTCCCTTTTGGGATGGAAAGAGCAGGTAGCGAGAGAATATTTTCCAAAGAAAACGGTCTCTGGCCTGTAATACCCCTTTTGAAAGAATGGCTCATTGATCACGTTTAGTATCAAATCTAGTTTTAATCTCTTTATCAAGTCTCCCTCCCACCCAGGCCCGACTTCCGACTTCCCAGGGTACTGGTGAGAATGACAGCCTCCTCTCTGCCTGGAATCTGAGGTATTGGCACAAGCCGTCACCCTGTGCTGGGAGGCCTCAGGGCAGAAATCATGGCCGATTGGTGCCCTGCAGGAGGGTGAGCCAGAGGAGCCTCCCCTCTCGTGGGGATGGGATGAGATGGGGTGGGGGCGGGGCGGGGCCCAGGAGAGGAAGAAGGGTATAGGAGACTCCCTCACTGTAGGGGTTTCCTGTTTGAAGGCAGGAAATAGGAGCTAATGGAGTCCAAGAACAAAAGTTGCCTTTTAAATAGACCACAGGATGGGGAGCTGGGACCACATTAGCCACTGATAACGTCCAGCGCCACCTGGGCGAGGGAGAAGGAGCAAAAAAAAGGCAATCCTAGGTTTTGTGGTAGCCGGAGCAGCCCCACTTTCTCCCCGCCCCGCACCTCTCCAGCCCCGTGCAGGGGAAGGGCCACAGGTGGGAGAGGATGCACAGGCACCTCTTCACTCAGCCTTCTTGGGCACTCGACCCATCTTGGTGCGGATGTTCCGTAGCAGAAAGAAGGCGACTGTACTGACTGCACAGATCACTTCGGCCACCCAGAAGGCTGTGCTCCAGCTATAGTGCTTGGCAATGGTGCTGAAAGGCAGCCCGGCCAGAAAGCCGCCCACTGCCAAGGAGGAGGGGAAGAGCTGGGTCATTTGTGAGGCGAGGGCCGGCTAGGCCTGCCTCAGCCTCTAGCTGGCCTACGTGTGAGGCACAAGTGGGGGTGAGGTGGAGACTCCACAGAGCACGGCTTACCGTTGGCCATGAGCCCCACAATGGCGTGGGAGGTGCCGCACAAGTTGGGAGGAGCACTCTCGTTGGCTATAACTCCGAACAAGGCAATGGGACCGTAGGAAGAGAAACCAAACACAGCTCCCAACACCAGGATCCAGAGCTACAAAGGCAGTGCAGGGTGGCATTCAGAGTTTGAGAAAGCCTACCTACCTGTCTACCTCTGTTAGAGGAGAGAACAAAGAACTGTAGTAAGGAGACAGGAAGTGACCTCCCCCAGCCCACTTCCTGACATAATGGACAGGGCAGAACTAGAGGAGTGGGTGCCCCACTGAGCCAACCCGAGGGCCTGTGCGGGTAGTGAAGGAGGTACAGAAGCCATCCCTCCAGGTTAGACGCGGTCTCTTCTCAGAACTCGGGCTAGCTCGACTGGCTGGGGGCAAGGCAGACCAGGAAGAAGACCAGAGATAAGGCACCTCATGCTCCGTAAAGCCTGTGAGCTCAGCGAGAGGGTGAAGAGCTGGAGTCCAGAAAGCAACATCCTAGAGGAGCACAGAGAAGAAAAGAAAACCAGGCCCCGAGTCCAGGAGGGGCACCAAAGTGCAGAGAGGTGAGACAGAACTGGAAAGGGAAATCCGAGGCAGAGAAAGGCCAGGGCAGTGTGGAGCCAGGGAGAGGGAGCCTGAGAGTCCGCAGGCCTTGCTTTCCCATCCTGTGCCTGCTGCAGCCAGGCCCTCCTTATTTACCTTGGGGGAGTCGCTGGTCACGGTGACCCGGAAGAGGTACATGGACACGGTCATGCCAGCCATCATGAACAGCAACAGGCCATGGCGAGGGTTCCCATAGATGGAGAGCCCTGCCTGTGGATACAGTCCCGGCAATGTCAGGGCCTCAAAGCAGCAGAGAACCTCTGCCCCAGGACTCTGGCACAGCAGGGCCTCTGCTGACAGGTCTTTGGCAATCCCACCACAGCTCTTGGCCCCAGGCAGCTCTGGGAGGCCCCAGGGCCTGCTCGTGGTGTCCTGAGGCCAGACTCCACAACATCCCTTCCTCCACCGTGGGGCAGGGTCGGGACGTGTGCTGGCAAGCTGCACCTGCTTCCTCCTCAACCCCGGTTTTCCTGGGACTGCGGAGAAGCCCGCTGCCAGGCTGAGAGACATTCTAGCTCCCCGTGACATCACTTAAAGCCCCTTCCTTACCTTCACCCCCCAGCAGGTAACAGTACCCTGAAGTCATTCCAACCTCCCCCCCACCTAACCCGGCCTATGCCAGCCTGCCCGTGCCCCGGGGCTCCCGTCCCTCTGGTGCCAGTCCTAGTCATGCTAGGAAGATTTAAAGGGACCCTCCTGCTTCCTGTCCCATCTGCCCACTCACCTTTGCCATGGCCCGGTCTGACAGGTAGCCAGCTGCGATGCTGCCTACGAGGCCGCCAACCTCCAGGGCACTCATGTAGGAGCTACCTGGAGTAGGGAGTTGTGGTGAGAAGAGGGAAAGGAAGGGTGGGTGTTACACACTGGGGTCGCCCCGGATTGGCTGAAGCCCAGAGAGGTACAGGGTCCCCAAGGGTGACCGGCTGCAGCTGTCTGAGTAGTGCCCAGGCTCGGGGAAAGAAGGAAGGGACAGAGAAGCTGGGCCTGAACTTCCCATCCCCGTCGCGGACGCCTGCTGCCTCGGTCCACCCACGTCCCGACACTCCTCTTACCCACGAGGACGGACTGTCCTTTCTCCTGGATAAGGAAGAACTGGCCCCAGTCAGTACAGCAGGTCTTGACTCCAAATACCACAAGGTAGCCCGTGGAGAGCACCCACAGGTAGGGGGACAGCAGCAACTCCTGTAGGGTACTCTCCTCCTTCAGGGAGCCTGGGGGCAGGAGGAGGCCAGGCCTGAGGCCCCGCTCTTGCCGCTCTGCCCCGACTGAGCCCCCACCACTCATTAACCACCTGCAGGGCCAGAGTCCATCCACACAGCCAGGGATCAGCGGGAAGCCGCCCCTTCAGCCACTGCTCTGCCCTGTCCCCTCCACTGCAGGCCTCAGCAAATGAAACAGGGGCCGGGACCCACGGAGGAAGGCACCCAAGCCACTTAAGCTCAGGACGCCGTCCAGGGCAGGGAAGTCTGGCTCTGCCACGAGGAAGGATCGGGACATGACAGGAGTCACACAGCGTTCGTTGGCTCTGCCGCTTGTCTGGTACCTACGTGTCTCTTGGAACGGAGTTTTATTTACTCCCCACCAACTCGCCCCCACCGTCCCTCCCCATCCCTCCATGGGCTTGCCCAGGGCCAGGCATACAGCCAGTCCTAGGTGAAAGTCTGCCAAATGAATGGGGAATGAAGGTGTCCCAACGATTTGGCTTGGGTGCGCGCTCACCCTTCTTGCCCTTGGAGGGGGTGGGGTCCAGGTTCCGGAGCCCAACGTCAGCAGGTTCGTTGTGGATGAGCAGGAGGCAGAGGACGGAGACAGCTACACAGAGCGCCCCCGACAGGGCCAGCGTGCTGCGCCAGCTGTAGCTCTGGGCGAGGACGGTCGCCAGGATGGGACCCAGCCCTCCGGCCAGGTTCATGCTGGTTGACAGAATGGCCCACCAGGTGCCAAACTGAGATGGCTCAAACCACTGCGGGGGCGGAGGGTTCAGAGCAGGTGCCCACGTTAAACACGCTGACGGTGAGGGGCAGGTGGGGCAGGGGCAGACCTAGAAGCTCACGTTACAGGGACGAGAAAGAGGGCGCTTCTACTTGGCAGGGCCAATTCCCTCATCTGCCACCTGATCCCACCACGTTTAGCTCCTAAAATATCTTGACAAGCAACAGGAGCTGGACTGGAAGTCCCGAGGAAGCCGCTCTGCGATAGGGGCGCTGGGACTCCCACATGCTCCGCAGGGATCCCCTCGGCCAGTCTCAACAGGCTTCTCGCGGCAGACACTCACCTTCCGCAGGATCTTCCCACATGGAGGCCAGCCCAGCCCCTGTGCCAGGCCATTGAGGAACCACAGAGCAGCAAAGACAGGGACCGCGGAGCTCCAGGAGAAGACTACGTTGACCAGGCCGACCAGGAGCAGCCCAGAAGAGAAGAGCCAGCGGGCACTCATCTGGTCAGACAGCACCCCGCTCACAAACTTGCTGATGGCATAGGCTGCCGACTGGCTGCTGGTGATGAGCCCTGCGGGGGAGGGGGGCGGGAGGCAGCACACCTGGGGGGTTAGGGGCCAGGGGCAAGGGCACAGGAGGGATGGAGGAAGACATGGGGTCAGGTGTGTAGAGGCGCCTGGCAGGGTGAGCGAGCTTCCTTCCGAGGGGACCGGGATGAGCCTGTGCTGGAATCCTAGCACGCGCTCAGCGGGGGCCCCGCTACTCCTCACCGCCAGCACTAGCCCCACGCTGACCCTTGACTTTTCAACCTCCTAGAGAGTTCCAGCTGCAGCTGTCAGGGGGCAAGAAGGGAAGGACGGGGCAGCCCCCACCCCAGGATTTATTTGCACGTGCCTGATTACATTTCCCTCACCCTGGTGCTGCCCCGGGGCTCCTGTTCTGTCGCCCCACCTCTGAACATGACACAAAGAGCTTAGAACTGGAGTCAAGGACCTTATTCCGCCTGAAACGTAGCACGGAGGGGGCCACATGAAGCTTCTGTGCCAAGTCCCCCCGTCCCACTGCTTACGATGTCAGTGGCCAGCGTGCACCCTGTGGTCTCACCCACACGGTGTGGAAACTGCCCAGAAGCCCCCTAAACACACTCAGAATAAGCCACGCCTCCAGGGGCGCATGTGGGTCACGGGCACACACAGACCCATCAAATGGGCAGCCCTCCTCAGACACGCATGGACCACACTCTGAGTGCTCTGCCCACAGCCAGGCGTGTGAGGTTTTCGGCGTGAGACTCTCCCTATCCTCCGCTCTGCAGACGCTCCACACACGCTACGTGCCTTTACGCACGACACTGCCACCAACGCCGACTTGTGCTACTGGTCCTGTGTCCCGGGGCTCACCCCCCTGCCCTTCCAGGGCTCACCCAAGTCATCCTTGTCTAGAGGGATCTCCTCCACCAACGACGGCATGACAAAGGAGAAGGTCTTGCGGTTGAAGTAGTACAGGCTGTAGCCTCCAAACATGGCTGAGAAGATCACGGTGCGGTAATAGCCGTAGCCTTGGGCGGCCATGGTGGAAGGGAGCAGGCCCCGCTGGCCGGGACACAGCGCTTCCGACGACAGCTCCTGCCTGTGGCTCTCTCAGTCACCAGATCTGCTGAGTTAGGCTTTTTCTGTTCCCTCCTCCACCCAGCCTCCCAGGCTCCCTTTATAGCCACCTTCTGGACAATCATTAAGCCTGGGGCGGCTGGTAGGGAACCCAGTGTCCTGAGGGAGACAAGAAAAACAGATTACTGACGGAGAAGTCTGTGGGGGCTGGAGGGGGTCCCAGAGGGAGGCACTGCCTGTGAACCATCACACTGTGTCCCTAGAATTTCTGCCTTTCTCCGCTCTGCTCTTCCTTGTCCGCCTGCCTGTGAAACCAGCTGTGATTAAAAGCTCAACCTAATTACTTTTGTCTGCGGGAGCCCAGGGGAGGCAGGGGTGGGATAAAGCAGAGCCGCGCTCTCTAGCCCTGCTCCCTCAGCCACCTACCTTCTCATTCATTCAGCCGAGGTTTACTGGCTTCCAGACACTGCACTAGGTGCTCGGTTAGTTTCTGCACGCGGTGCGTGCGCGCGCACACACCCCCAGCAACCCCACTTCCAAGTCGTCCCGGGGCGGACTCAAGCCCTGTAACTGCCAATGCCTTGCACACATCGGGGTGTAGCTGTTTACGGATAGTTGCAGAATCGGAAGCGAGGGGAACTTCCCAGCGCAGGTCCCGTTGTTGCACTGAAAGCCCCTATAAATGCCTGCGGTCGTGGTCACCCAGCTGCCTCTGGTCCCTTTACCCTGTGACGCCAGTGTAGGGTGCCCTCTGGCTGGCTGGGGGCTGCAGGGTGACAGCACGACCCGTGGGCGGGAAGGTCCACCCTCGGGCTTCAGGCGGCACTGCCGAGCCGGCTAGCGTCCCAGGGCCCCCGCGAGACGCCCCCGGCCTTTCCTTTCGATTAGGAAGGCAACTGGAGCAGAAGGCGTAGGCGCGCGCGGAGCAGGCGACCGCTTATAGTCTCCCGGAGGTTCCTCGCCCGGGGCGCCTAGTGGCTCAGCCCAGCAGGACAGGGCCAGGCGCAGGCTCTCGGCACCTGCCCAGCCCCGTGTCCTCGAGCCACCTAGGACACCCGACCCGGGCTGCGAGGCCACCGGCCTGGCAGCCGGAGAGGTGCAGAGAAGCCGGACTGGTGCGACAGAAAGAAGCAGGTACGTGCTGGTCCCGAGCAGTGCCTCGGAGGCCCCCAGACCCAGGAAGTGCCCCCATCCCTGAAGGGGCAGCGGCAGGAACGCCTCCGCTTGGTATCGGAAGTTAGGGCAACCTTTGCTGGGGCTCTAACAAAGGAGCCACGAGACCCGAGACGCCCCCTCCAGCCCCGCCTTCTGCCGGCGCCCCTCCCCCGCATTCGTCTCGCTACCTGAACGCAAGCGGGAGCCGGAATAGGACAGAGACCAGAGGTGGGACGGTGTGCGCAGGCGCGCGCGCTCGGGGCGGGGCCTCCGCCTGCGCTTGGCTGGCTGAGAGCCAAGTCCACCCGCAAGGGTGTAGTCCAAATCCTTCCGGTAGTACTCTGTCCTTGGGTGAGAACAGCGCCCCTTAGGGGCTGGACGCGTAGGTCCCTTCTTTAACTGATGGCATTCGACATACCAGTTTTTAGTGAGTGCCTCCCGCTACCAATCACTGTTCCCGCGTTGTTCAGAGTCTGGAAAAGGTCTTGTAGAGAGCACAGTCTTTTCTGTAAGAAATTAAGCCAGTCTTCAATAAGCACAGTAGGAACATTTAATTTGTAATCAGACTGTTAGGGACGAAGTTAAGACAAAATGGAGTGTTTAAAGTACGTGGCTGGAGGCGCCTGGGTGGCTCAGCTGGTTGGGCGTCAGACTTCAGCTTAGGTCATGATCTCACAGTTCACAAGTTCAAGCCCCACATCAGGCTATGTGCTGATAGCTTGGAGCCTGGAGCCAGCTTTGGATTCTGAGTGTGTGTCTCTCTCTGTCCCCTTCCTCCAACTCACACTCTGTCTCTGTCTTGCTCTCAAAAATAAATAAACGTTAAATAATAAAGTACATGGGCAGGAGTAAACCTCAAATTCTAATCCTAGACCCACTACATTTTGACAATGTGACCTTGGGTAATAATTTCTATGAGCCCCAGTTTCTTACCAACCTCATAGGTTCATGTGAGGACTCAAAAGAAGATTTATTATTACTTTTTTTAAGATTCTAGGGGCTCCTGGGTGGCTTAGTCGGTTAAGCATCCGACTTTCGCTTAGGTCATGATCTCGCGGTTCGTGGGTTCGGGCCCCGCATCGGGCTCTGTGCTGACTGCCAGCTCAGAGCCTGGAGCCTATTTCAGAGTCTGTGACTCCCTCTCTCTCTGACCCTCCCCTGCTCACGCTGTCTCTCTCTCTCTCTCTCCTAGAAATAAATAAAAATATAAAAAAATAAAAAAAATAATAATAATAAAGATTCTATTTTTCTAAGTATTCTCTAAGTGGAGCTCGAACTCACAACCCCAAGATCAAGAGTCATATACTCCACCAGCTGAGCCAGCTAGGAGCCCCTCAATAGAAAATTTATATAAGAGCTTAGAAAAGTTAGATAATTGCTTTCAAAGAGACTACTGGATATTTGCTGAAAGAATTCTAAGTGGTCCAAAGTTGACAGCAAAGATCTTTTAGATTAGGAAGGTGATCAAGGAAGGGAGGAGAAAAGTGCAATCAGCCACCAGCGCCACTCCAGAATGCCTCATGAAAGATTTTATTTTATTATTTTTTTAACATTTATTCATTTTTTGAGAGACCCAGAGAGACAGAGAACAAGTGGGGGAGGGGCAGAGATAGAGGTTGACACAGAATCTGAAATAGGCTCCAGGCTCTGAGCTTTCAGCACAGACCCCAACACGAGGCTCGAACTCACAAACTGTGAGATCATGGCTTGAGCCAAAGCTGTGAGATCATGACCTGAGCCAAAGTCAGATGCACAACCGACTGTACCACCCAGGTGCCCCATGACTGGATTCTGATGAGAATCATGGGTGGGTTTTGTATTTCCCTTCACTTCCCATCTGGGTACCCAAAACAATGAATGCAGCCAGGGATTCCCGTGAGCAGAGAGGTGAAGCATTCAGCCTCCCAGATGACAATCTTGGATCTAGCAATTGGGAGACAGCCGATTTAGGAGAAGATAAAATTAATGAAGAACCGGGAGTCTTAATATCAGCAAAGTGTGGATAGTAAACTATCAGGAAGATAATGAGGAGACTGTAGACTTGGCTTCAGTGAGGTAGGAGGATCATAACGCAGAAGGTAATATGGCTGCAGATGGTGATGATGATAATGATTCTGAAAGTCTAGATGACTCTGAAAGTGATTCACAGTGAAAGAAGAACCTGCTGAAGAACTCCAAGCTAACTGAGCACCCTGATGAAGTGAAGGATCCCCAACAAAACTAAAAGATAACCTACTCAATGGGAGAAGATATTTGCAAATGACACATCCAATAAAGTGTTAGTATCCAAAATATATGAGGAACTTCAACTGAGCACCACAAAACAAATAATCGAAATAAAAATGGGTGGAAGAGGGGGTGCCTGGGTGGTTCAGTCTGTTGAGTGTCCAACTTCGGCTCAGGTCATGATCTCATGGTTCATGAGTTCAAACCCCGCATCGGGCTCTGTGCTGACAGCTCAGAGCCTGGAACTTGCTTCGGATTCTGTGTCTCCCTCTCTCTCTGCCCCTCCCACGCTCACACTCTCTCAAAAATAAATAAACATTAAAAAAAATTTTTTTTAATAAACGGAAGAGGGTGCCTGGCTGGCTCAGTCAGTAGAGCATCCAACTCTTGACCTCAGGTTGTAAGTTCAAGCCCCACGTTGGGTACAGAGATTATTCAAAAATAATTAATTTTTAAAATAGGCAGAAGACATGAATATACACTTCTCCAAAGAAGACATACAGATGGCCAACAGACACATGAAAAGATGCTCAACATCACTCATTATCAGAGAAATGCAAATCAAAACCACAATGAAATGAAGTGCCTGGGTGGCTCAGTCGGTTAAGCATTTGACTCTTGGTCTAGGCTCAGGTCATGATCTCACAGTTCATGAGTTCGAGCCCTGCGTCAGGCTCTGCACTGACAGCACAGAGATTCTCTCTACTTGGGATTCTCTCTCTCTCTTTCTCTCTGCTCCTCCTCCACTTGCACATGCAAAATAAATAAACTTAAAAAAAAACAACAACAAGTGAGCTATCACATCACACCTGCAGAATGGCTAAGTCAAAAGGACGAGAAACAAGTGGTGGAGAGGATTTGGAGGAAAAGGAACACTTATTCACTGTTGGTGGGAATGCAAACTGGTACAGCCCCTCTGGAAAACAAGTATGGAGGTTCTTCAAAAAATTAAAAATAGAATTACCATATAATCTAGTAATTCCACTGCTGAGTATTTACCCATTGAATATGAAAACACTAATTCAAAAAGATATATGTACCTCTATGTTTATTGCAGCATTAATTACCACAGGCAAATCCCAGAAGCAGCCCAAGTGTCCATCAATACATGAACGGATAAAGAAGATGTGGCAAAGTCACCTGGGTTGCTCAGTTGGTTGAGTGTCTGGCCCTTGATTTCTGCTCAGGTTGTGGTCTCATGGTCGTAGGATCAAGCCCTGTCGGGCTCCACGCTGATGTCTGGAGCCTGCTTGGGATTCTCTTTCTCTCCATCTCTGTCAAAATAAATAATAAACATTAAAAAAGAGAGAGAGAGAGACGTCATATGTGTGTCCACCTGATTTCTATACTGTAAAGTGTATCTCTTTGTAATTAGTAATCGATGGGTCCACTCTTTGATCCTCCCTCCTCAACCTTCATCTGTAGGCCTACCTTACCCCTCTCCAGGATCCAGTTTCTTCCAACATCTGATCAACATCCATTGGCAACCTTCAGAACCATCTTCACAACCACCCCCTGCTTCCAGGATCAGCCAACACCAGCTTTTGAGATTGGTCCCTTATTGCTGACCAGCTCCCCAGCTCCCAGATTTGCCAGAATTATTCCACCCGCGTGGCCAGCCGCCTATTCAACCTGCATCCGCGGGCCTCCTGCCCTACCTCTCTGAGCGTCTGTTCCCACCGCCATGGTGTGTGGCTCTGGTCAGCTGGGACCTGCCCTCCAGCAGTGGGCGGAGGACCAGGGCCAAGGCACAGAGTCCCTTGATGCAAAACCCGCGCCGCGGCCGCTCCCTCTTCCAGGAGGAGCTGAAGCCTCCCAGAGCTGACGGGGCAAAACCCTGAATTCCATGGAAGCCACCCCCGCCCAGGAGAAGAACCTGAGGCAGGCGCTTCGGGATCTGCAAGCCCTGGGCTCTGCCCGCGCATTCTCGGACTTGCCCGAGAACCGTGTCCTAGAGGAGCATGTGAAACTCATCAAGAAGATGGGGTGCACCTGCCTGAGCTCCGGGGGCTCATCTTCCAA